TAATGTCTGAAAACGAGGCTTATAAGAAAAAGACAACCCTCTGAAGCTTGCAACTGTATTAAACCTAATAGTCAAAACTGAACACGAAGACAATTAACATATATAAGAAATGATAATATTTTGTTTTAGCATGCAATGAGTTAATTTAAGAAGTTTATAATAACTGAAATCTATAATTAAACATGACAAATAATGGGAAAATTTCATAGGTTCAATGGACCATGTTAATCCTGTACTTTGCAACAGTTGTACTACTGTTTTTAGTATTGTTCCTATGGCTTGCCAAGCAAAGCAAAGTTCCAGCGGAGAGACAAACAACTGTGAAAAACAGGAATGTCACCACGATTGTACAGCTCGCATTTTGCACAATTATATTCACATTACACACACTCAGACAGCTTCCACAGCTATCAGTTTGCAAAAAGCTTGATTTGTATTAAAAACAACTTTATCTCTAAATGAACTCCTGCTAATGATAACATCCAAGTATTTCAATCTAAATGAAAAGAGATGATAACTCAAAATACTCACCTGACTTCACATGACTGAAATTAAAAGCACTCTTGACCTCTTGGATCTAGTGATGTGCCCTGGCCACAATCAAAACTTGCACTGGGGCATGAGCAAAGATCAGCCTTGCATCTTGGTTTCAACAAGGAGAGAGTCTAGGAGCCCAAGTGAGGAGATGACCAGGACTGCTGATTGCAGTGCAACACCACTCAAACTAGAGGGATCCTTTGTATTTCAGTGTCATTTGGTACCCTATCAAACCAGTCTCCCCCCACCTCTTAATAATTTAATACCTCAAACAAAGTGTCTTTCTTTCTGATTAGCGCACCATGAATAACGCATAGGTTTTCTACAGAAATACAAAGGGTGTAATCTACACACATCAAACCCATAAAAGAAAAAATTCTCATTAAAGAGCCTGAAAGAAATTCAAGTTCAGCATAACCGACAGCAATTTCCAAATGTCCCAGCAGAGTGGCCCAGGCCACCCCCTGTACCTACATCTTGTAATTAAATTAGCTTCAAGTTAAGAGACCCGATCATAGTGAGATTGGCTTTTCTTACCTTTTGCCACATTTTGATGAAGAAGAGCTCTCCAGAAAAATTGAAGAAAACATTGGTGTCATAGGCATCATCCCCAACGTTAGAGATGGAAATGTTAAGCGAGATGTTCCTCACCGCTCCCAGGGCCAGGTAGGCAGTTCTGTCATCAACACTGTAGGCAGAGACAGTTACACTGGTTTAACTCTGGACAACTTTCACGCTTTGCTCCTGCTTTCTTCCTGAGTCACAACTCAACTGTTTAAAAACTTAGCAGTCAACAGTCAGGAATGTGCTGTATGGCCAATGCAGGGTGCAGGGGGCCATACTTAGAATGAATAGCTCCTGACTCCTAGTTCTGACACTGTCTTTTGGGACTGTAAGAAAACCCCATGCTCCTCATGTGCATTTATTTCACACAACCTATTTTTAGTCAAACAAATTACTTGAAGACTGTAAAGTAATTGGACAGGAAAATGTCACAAGTGCAAGATATTATACCTGCATTCAAATACACAAGCTATTTCAGTTTGTCTCTTCGAACATTCTAGCAACTCTCTGAAAAATTTTCAATGTCCATGTTCAGTGGACACAAATGTCCACTGAATGTGACTAATCTTTCTTTGGATGTTTATACTGCACCTAACATGGTGGAATCACCTTCTGTAAGTGGAATATAACAAGGGAATAGTTGAATTAAAACAACAGCTATGTATCATTGATAAGTATTGCAAGATGGCATCACAGATTATGAAAAAAAAACAGGCATGCACACATAGAGGCAAATATAAATATTAATGCACATACATTCATTATTTGATATTTAGTCCTACTAGGCTGTCTGGACAACAAGCTAACAAGTAGAAAAAAAGGCTAAAGATAAATCACAAGAAAATACAGCATCAATGCACAGATCTGCAAGTCCTGGAAGTAACACTACAGTAAAATGTAATCTGAACTATACCAGGTATAAATTCAAAAATTAGAAAAAAAAGAAGAAGTATAATTTTGCTACAGTTATCACAACTGGAATCTAAGCCCATTCATACATCCTGGAGAAACAGAGTCACAGAGAAACACTGAGTAGCTGGTCAGATAAGGGCAATGCCCTCCAGCCACATAGCAGGGAGATGCCCTCGAGTACTTTCTCTGGTGTACAGCCAGCCCAAAAGTAAGAAGGAGCCACATTTCATTCATCAAATTTCCATAAAGGAACAGCTGTGCTGGTAATGCACTTGTTGGCACACACTGCTCCTCTGCTTATCAGCAGCTGTCTGAAGATGGGTAGTGTGCAGGACATGAGCTGTGTTTAACGGCAGGGTGCCACCAGCCCTCTTCTGCCAGCCTTGGTCATGGTACTGCAGCCAGAGCATGTGCATAAAAGTGGGGTTTCTGGGAATGTGGTGCTTATAAACCTTTCAGCATCTTCTGCCAACCATAGCTATACCAGACCTCCAAAGGCAGAAGTTGCTGGGCTTCTTTTGCCTGTTAGCCAAGAAGTTTCTAAATGTGCTATGTATCAAAGCAGTCAGGGACTCTGGTGAATGAGAAGTTTGGAGGAAGATGGTCTAGATTCAGGCTTTAAAGCTGATGGCTGTAGATTGTGAGTGCTAACTTTTCCATGTAATGCAGACAACATTTATAGTGTATCTGTTTCCTGTACTTACTTCACTTATTAAGCCCAAAATTATAGCATACAGTTCAATGACAGCTTCTTACGAGGCAGATATTAGTATCCAGGAAATGTGTCTGCTTTCTCACACTTTAAAATCAACTGCAGACACCAAATAATCCTACTGATAATTGGAGAGTTTACTTTCAAAGCATTATAGTTTATTCTCAGTCACTCATCAGTGCAAACAAAGATTTGCAAAAAAAGTATGTAGTGCAGGATCATGTGCAAAACTAGTTTGAGAGGTCCAAATCATTTGAGTTGTTGCTCAATATTTTATGTTGAATTGTAGACAAATTATAAAGATGCTAAACAATCTGCTGGGATTTTCTGATAATCAAAAGTGTATATTTGGAAGCAAAGAAATAAAAATCATTTAATACTGTGAATTATTTCTCATGAACTTTAGAACTGCACTTTTTGCAACCATTTCAAAACTTAGTCAGCATCTCTCATACTCACCAAAATCTGGAAGAATCACTTCAGTAAGCAAAGGAACATTGCAAAATATTATCTTATGTAGGGTTAATACTAAATGCAATGTATGCTATAGAATCCTCTTTGAATTGGTGGTAGCAGCATTTTGAGATTTAACATAAAGTGAAGACAACTGAGAACACTCTCCTTTTTACTGAATAATAAAAAATGCTCAGAATAAAATCCCATTTAAAATTAACCTCACATAAAAATCATGCAAAGATAAAGACCAATGGGTTGTGTTACTCCTTTCTAAAGCCATCACTCCTCTGTTAGAAGTGTATCATACCAAAATTACATTTTCCTCAGGAAAGAAAGAAAACCCACTTTCTAAGAGCACATTGTAGCTGATCCTATACAAAATTCACACACTAATAAACTCCAAAAAATATAAATGACTTTAGGCTGGCAGATGAGTTCAGCTCTCCCACGGAAAGGCTGTATGAGATTGTTCTTTAAGTCCCATTTTAAGAGAGCAGCTTTCTGAGTCACTGAATCTGGATACATCTGGAATACATCAGGTTCACTTGCAGTGTGAAGAGGATTAGGAATCTCCACATTCACAGGGAAGCTTCCAGGCCCTGTTTACTGCTTGAGAGAGTAATGTTATGAGTGCAAACAGTCTGCTGTGATTCTGGAACAGCTCTACTGCCAACCTGGTGCCAGCCTCCTCCAGCACCTGGCACACATTAAGCACCCTAGCTGCCAAGTCAAAATATGTCAACTAAAGAACTGTTATCACCCACCAGAAACAAGAATACAAAACTAAAGCCACCCCTCGTCTGAACAAGGTATGTCAAACAATTTAAGAAATGTAACCAAGCAATGACTTTTTGTTTATATTTTATATTGTTGAATGAGAACTAGCTACCAACATTCTCAACAGGACCCTCATAACCTTGCTCACATAAAGGAAGAGAGACTAAAAACAAACTCAAAAAGGAAAAAGAAAAGTAAAGAAAGAAAAGAAGGGGGAAAATCACAGAATCATAGAACCATAGAATTTTAAACAGGTTTGAATGGACCTTACAGATCATATAGTCCCAACACCCCCTGCCATGGGCAGGGAACACTCCCCACTAGACCAGGTGCCTCATCCAGCCTGGCCTTGAACACTGCCAGGGTTGGGGCAGCCACCACTTCCCTGGGCAACCTGTGCCAGTGCCTCACCACCCTTATAGTAAAAAACTTTTTTCTAAAAGCTAGCCTAAACTTCCCCTCCTTCAGTTTCAACCTGTTATGTCTTGCCCTACTATTGCAGTTTCTAGCAAAGAGTCCCTCTTTAACTCCCTTATAGGCTCTTCAGATATTGTAAAGTTGCTACAAGGTCTCCATGCAGTCTTCTCTTCTCTGGGCTGAACAGAAAATAACAATAAATAATCAGATAACTGGACAGAACACTACCATCTCATGACACCAGGTACTACACATGAAAAATGAACTGAGTAAAAGTCCTGGGTAGACTGCAGACATATACATTACATACAGGCAAGCACATTTATGCACACATACAGAGACATGAAGGATGTCAAGCTATTCATGTTTACATTAAAAGAAAAAAGAGTTTTACATTTAGAAATACTAAGTACTTGCAGTTTTCATTCACATGACCCAGACTTGCAGGTAAAAAGCTCCAAATTTCTGCCACAGTTTTGAATTCACTGACAATGGTAATACACATCAAATGTAAATAGAAATATTTAATGTTTTCCTCTCAAGTGATTAAGAAAAGAAAATTTCAGGATAAAACTAATAATTTTTTGCATGCTTTAAAGTTCTTTGTTAATGTCTGCACCACATCATTGCACTATGGTCAGTGAGGTAGGAAAGACCAGCTGAGAAAAACAAATGGAAAAGATCTGCAATTTTCATTTCTCCACCAGACAAGATGCTGGTGTTTTTATTAACCTGGGTCAGTGGAGGTATAATCTGCATTCCAAATGGTATACAGGGACATTTTCTCAATTTCCTCCATCAGGGTGAATATTTTAAAAAAATGAGAAAACATTCAGGACTTGCTCTCAGCCTGAGCAGATCATTCATAGGGCAAGGAATGTGACAGGGTTGCACTTACCCTATTAGTCTGGGTCAGTGACTTTCCCTTTTATATTAGGAACCTTTCTTTCCTTACAGCAAATCAGCACCTACACGGATAAATCACCACTACTGCTCAATGGACAGTGACAGTTACAACTGTGGTCAGTTAGATTACAAATGGATAAAAACACTTCAGACAACTAAAGTCTAATCTGTCCTTCACCTCCACTGGAAGAAATTACAGAACTCCACCTTTTGCTTTTAAATCAGTAAAAGGTGTGAGTCAACAAACACTGGTGATGTGACAGATCCAAACAGATTTCTACCTTCACCAAGCAGCACCGCAATTAGTCTTTGCAGTTGTTAAGATACATAAATATTAATTTCATCTCCACAGACTCTTTACATCAACCCTGAATACCTTTCTCCTTTTGGGATTTCTTAACACAGGCTTCTCCCAAAGTTAGCTTAACTTTGGGAGAAGTTTTGCAAATACTCAAAGGCCAATGAAAAGCTGAAACCCTCAGATAATCTGGGAATTCATTTGATGTCTCAGTGTAAAACTGAGAGGTAGCAGCCCCACAAACAAATGCCAATCCAAGAAAAAGTTTTAAACAATCCCACAGGGAACAAATATATTGGATTTTACACTGCTTGGTGACATTGCCTTCCCATCCCATGGGCATTCAATGTCAATTCTCTCTGCAAAGTTCACAGCCAATTTAAACTAAGGACTGGGCCAAGTCCTCAAGATGTCATAGCTTATTCTGCATTAGCTGAGTTGCTGCCTTCCTCTTCTCACACTGAAGCCTATGCTAGCACAGGCACCAAGAGACCTCATGCAGCTGATGACCACAGCCTATCTGAGGTGCACTAAGCCAGCAAACTAGCTCTGAGGCCATCAGACCATTTCATTAATGATCTTTTCTATTTCTCGAGTGGAGACTTTTCAGTGTGCTCTGAGTAGAAGACAATGTGAAGTGCCGGGA